GGTGGACAGTGTTCCTGTTTGTAGCCCATCTTGTCCGTAAGAAAAAGCTTTGAAGCGTCAATGCGAAAGTCACACTCTTCCTCTTCATGTACATTGTCACAACTTTATTATTTTGCGACTTTGTCAGAAGTTCCTAAGCCCTCGTGTCCAAGTACAGGCTCCACAGATTTTCCCGGTCTTATTGCAACTTTTAGTCACAGGTTCTGCAAGTTGTCTTCACTGGGACGCAACCTGAAATGAAAGAAAAACGTTAGAGTGTCGTATCCTACCCTATACTAATGCACATTCACTAGTTAAAATCATCTCCATGTTACCACAGGGCCATTGCATAATTTTTCATGTTTCATATTTGGCATGGGACTTGGCACCGAAAAATCACGTTACCTCTCTTAGAACTCTGATGAGACAATCAAATATCTCTGTGAAAATTGCTTCGATCCTCCGGCGTCTATTGTGGAGCCGTTTCTCATGAGAGCGAAACCAAATCCAACCAAATTAACACTTGGCGACAATGCGTCCTGATGTCAGGATGCAGATGTTTTTTCAATGAACGGAACTGTTGAGAACGTTCCAGAAGATTATGATTTCGTAATTACTGATAAAAATTCTAAAAAATTCAACATTTAAAAAAAACTCGGCAAGANCGAAAAAGTCGTCCCCAAAAAATTTTTCCCCAGGCATGCATCTCAAACTTCACATTTTTCCTGAACTCGGTGTCTTAGTAGCCTCGTTCATACCAAAGTTCAACTTTCCATGCCATGTTTTAATCGAAGCAAAAATAGGCTGGTCGTCAACGTGTTAATTATTTTTATTTTCTTTAGTCTATCTGAATTTAAATGGAATCAAAAATATAAGCACGAGAAATTTATAAAAGATTGGAAAAGGGCTACCATGAATAATCCTGAAAAGGTACACCTTTCTAATATGCATTTCAAGCAATTTCCGTGTTCAGGGTCTTGCATAGCATTTTGCTAGGGGGGTACAACCTTAAGTGCAAATAGAACAATGATAAATTTTGCCTCAATTTAAGCCTTTATTCAACCTGAATATAGTAATGCATCAGTCTTTTGTGTGACCACCATTCGCTTCACGTACAGCCCTCAAATGTTGAGGGTATAATTTAAACAAATTTTCAAAAAGTTATTCGTTAAATGGAAAATGAAACATAACATTTTGGAAGTTTTGCAGGACAACCCCCTCAGAATTTCAGTCAGTACCAAGCTCACTAATCCTACTTTCTTTTTTTTTTCCTTAAAAGCCTTTCTCGATACAGTATTGTCATCTAATTAGCTTTCCATACCTTTTTGAACTTATTTTTTGAAACTGCACCACAGCTTTTCCTTTGTCTTTTCCCACTTTTCTCCATCGCAATATTTTCGCTCACTTAAGTGAATTTTCGCTCACGTCCTGCCATTATTAAATTCCAATAAATAAAGCAAAGCAAGATCCGTATCCTTTGCTGCAGTCGTCAGTAACTCAATCACTCACTGCAATTCAGTGGTGAGATATTCACTTCCAATTGATAAACAGTGCGCCTGCTTCTCTTGCTTCTCGATAGGCGTATGCTCGAATGCGGTCTGTAACACGTTGCCTTTCATCATCGTGAACCACACCAGCGATTATAATTTTCAATGACAAATATAAAATGAGAATAACATTAGCTTTTAAAATTTGTATAACATTTATATTTTTTAGGCTCCATAATAGCTGTACCTCCCTAGCAAAAGATTATGCACGACCCTGTAAGTCTGACACCGAATCATTATCGTGAAAAAAATTATAAGAGTCCATCTTTCCCCTGACGCTAACAGTGAGCTGGTTGCTGCAGTTTGGGTAATACTGCTGTTTGAGAAGGTGCTATGATTTATAGGACGCCCTGTACACTCCATGGTATGGGCAGTTACGAATTCCCGTCTCCCGGAGGAGGCAGACATGAGAATTACTGAAATATTACCAGGGCAGTATGCCATGTACTTAAAGTTTCGGAATTTTCCACGCCGGCAGTTAAAAAGTATGAGTCAAAGTTACCGATCAATTATCATATATTGTATTGAATATTTAATGAGGCAAATAATTTTTGGAATCTATGGGGGATGCAGTGCCCCCCACATTTAACTATACGATCCTTCACAAAATGATTGAAAACTAAGAAGGATTAAAAAGAAGAGATTAATTTTCTCCATCAAAGAGAAGGAACTGTTTTTTAATGCTTTTGTTTTTTAATCGTGTAAGAGCAGTGTAAAGAAAAACGTTTTCAAGTTTTATTTTTTAAAGTTTTTCCGCCGATTAACTAGTTTCATCCTCCCAGGTGTATGACAATACTGTCAATCATTGAACAGAGACTAAGAAGATCCTGGGTGTATTTGGGGATAGTGTTTCTGGTTTTTTGGAGTTTTTTTTTTTGAGACATTGATGAAAGAAATGAAGGTGTCCGCGCCAATAGGAGTGCTGGGAGTTTCTGGAGCTGACACTGTTTCAGTTTGAGGTGGTGTCAATTCCGAGCCCAAGGGAGAACCTGGAGTTGGCCTGTCGGTGTTTACGGTCAAGAGTCCTTAACCTTTCATCCTTAACATTTTATGTTGTGGATGGCTGAAGTGACGTGAGAGATGAAGAGCGTTTTCGAGTGAAACTTGATGATGGGATCAAAGGTTGGCCATTCCGCAGCTGAAAGTGAACGTACTATGGCTTGGGCTGTGTGTCTAATCAAGGGAGTGATTGAGGAAACTGGTTTTTCCTGTGTTTCAGATGTGTCCATTGCGTCTCGATCACCTAAATTTCAATGATCACCTAAATGTAAGTAATCACGATAATTTCCGCAATTCGCATACATTTTGCTCATTTTGGCGACATCAACCGGGACGATTGCATTTCCATTACAAATCTATTGCATTTGCACGACCTCGTTCGATCCGAGCCATCGAAGGCCGATCGCAAGTTTGTCTTCACTTCCCTCAGTCTCCGATTTTCTCGAATTTTTGGCCAACATCATCGGAATTTTGCTTTTGGGCTTTTTTGACGGGTTTCTGGACGTACTGCCGAGTTTTCTTCTCTGCTATTCTATTCAGTAGTCTTTTGGGGAGAATAATGTGATTGACAGTGAATTTCAATCTTACAACGCACAGGAGGTGGGGGGGGGGGCGGAGATTAACGGTATCACTTGCGCGAAGGCCCTCTCCTTGAATCATACACTGACTCTGACAATGCAAGAATCGCATAAAGTTGAGAGGCGGGGAGACGCTATTCGACATCTATGAAACATTTTCCCACTAGTTCAGTTTTGGTGAAAATAAGGGCCTCCAAATAGCATGTTAATGAATTGCGCTCACCAAAGAAACATCATAGAACATCTTTCCTATGTCTGAGAAGGGCTTGGCAGCCTCTCTTTTGTTGAAGGTTTATCAGACCCTGTTTGGTGTCGCGGACTGTCAATAATTAATAGACGATAAGATCATACTGTGCTGACTACACAGATGAAATAAATATCAACTATAATCAAGAAACAAAAAATACAGGCGGATGGATGGGTATTGTTTTAGCATCGAAATTACAATTAACTTTACTGGTCATGTTTAACGACGGTAGAAAACAATGTCTATCCCATGTTACCTCCACTTAGAAATCATCTAATATACAGAGTGGTCATGAAGTACCAATTTACTTTATTGAAAAGCTCAAAATTCTCACAAAAATGCATAATGTGCACTTCACAGTGGCAATCATGAACTAAATAAAACTAGAAATAGAAAATTAAGTCAGTTACTATCACATTCTTTTACTGATGTTTCACATGACTGCGTTCCAAATGAATACATTACTGCAATCGATCCGTTGCTTCCCTGAATATTCAGGATGTTCAGCTTGTAGGGGTTACAGTGTTAACAGCAGTTTAAATACTTTCTCTTAAATGTGCAACATTGAGAACCGTTGTGCTGTAAACGTTGTTGCTCTTCAAGAGAAATCTTGAAGCCAACATTCTGTTTGACCCTGAGCCAATCTAACGGTTCGGAAACGTTTCATTAGGTAATCTCCCACAATGTTCGCGAAGTGACATCTTGGCTTCAAGATCCTCTGACCTAACCCCCTTTCACTTTTTTTGCATGGGGGGTGCATCAAGTCAAAGGTTTACAGCATAAAGGTTGACGATTTGAGAGATCGTATCTATTCTACTACAAACACCATAAACCCTGCCAGGCTTAAAAATCCTGTATGTGTAGGGGAACAACGGATCAAAGGCAGTTATGAATATGTATCGATTTTAAAGGCAGCCATGTGGAAATTCAGTAAGAAAAAAAGGTCAGTTGCGTTTTTAAAATGTACTATCACCAGTTTTATTTAGTTCATTATTGACAATGTCAGGTGCATATTATGCGCTTTTGTAATAAATTTGAGTTAATTAATAAAATGAAATAGATTGGGACTTGATGACCACCATGTGCGACGACGATCGTGACTGATGCTGAATCTACTCATGCTCTAGATGAGGTAGGAATTTTAAACTTTGTGCACAAATAGCTGTTTGGATGAAGAGTTCAGAAAAAATCAGACTTTGCAGAGGTACATGCCATGGGTGCACCTCATTTTCGTGGGAGGATGTTTACAAATACATATTTTTGCTTCGGTTAAAAAGGACATGGAAAGCTGAAACTTGGTATGAACGGTAGTAAGCAATGTCTATCCCATGTTACCCCCACTTACAAATAATCTAATATATAGGGTGGTCAAAAAGTACCAATATACTATATACTGTAGTATAACACAATATAATATACAGTGAAAAGATTAAACGGATGAGGCTGAAACTTGGTAGACACGTAGTTCTCCAGGTACTGCATTTAGTAAAAGCATTAATTTTTTTAATGTAAAATCCCAACGGAAACATTTCTTTCTAAAAGCTTATTTTCCAGACTTTTTTTTATTCAACGAAACAGGGGTAAAGAGTTGTGGTGAAAGGCTTCGTATAGGGAAAAGTCTCCTTCCAACTACGAATTGTGACTCATCCTATGCATTGTCCGCCTGTCTTGATCGACAGTGAGTCAACTCATCCATCACTGGTTGAAGTAGCTGGCTTCTATTCAACTTTTCCCCTCTGACAGACAGGTTGTGTGCCTTGCGCCTTATTGTATTTCCAAGCATATTGTTGACAGAGGCGTAGGACGTGTACCATGTTATGAAAGATGCATAATTCTCATCACCACATTTGTCCTTTTGTGGACACCTATTGGATTGCAGGGCACTTGCGGAAAGACACCTTGTCATTTACTCTTTTCTTACTTCTGAGCGCCTCATAGCGAGACGAGGTTCTGTCTCGTGACGTTCGAATGTCGAAATACCGTCGCGTTAACAGCAGTAGACATGGTCTGACAGAGCTCCTACACTCAAAAACATGTACCTGGCGCCGACACGCATAAGAAGGCCAGCAAAAGGGCAAAGCTAAGATACCCTGTTGTTCCCTTAATTTTTTCTATAGATAGAAACCGAGTTTCGAGTAAAATCCTGCCAGGAGAAGGATGTCAATGTCAGAATGAAACCGCTCAAGAGGGCTGAGTGAGATGGAGTAGCACCACATGTGGTAGCCCATATTATGGGTCAATTTAAATTTGAAGAAAAGCTTATTTTTTCGTATTGCTCCACTTTAAAATAGATGCACTCATGGTCACTTCTTTATCTCCAGGAAAGAATAATAAATATTTCCCGATGGTGGTTCAAGCCACTCGCGGACTTTATTCTTTAGAGGCTGCACTCTTTTAGAAAATCGTAAGTTATGCATATTGATTGATAACGTCGATCTCAAGAAACGAAGTTCTCTGATGAAAATTGTCGTGGACGTCGTGTGTTGCCTATTTGGTGAAATTGTAGAGAAGTCATTTAAATAAGTTTCTTGAGCGGAGAAATGAGATCAATTTCGTGGTTAAGGAAGGCAACAAACCAAGGGAGATTCACTAGCGAATGAGAGCCCCTTCCGGCGATGGAGAACTCCAAAAACCGGCTGCGTTTAAGTAATATATTGATATATTCGTTAAAGCTGGGCGTAAAGGTGCGCTGGAAACTTTGGGCAGAGCAAGCTCATGGCTTCAGTTTTCTGAATTACTCCGAGGTAATTCACGTTATTTTGTATTTCAGCCTCAAGGATCTTTCATCATCATTCCATACTGCTCCAAGCTGTCCAGGCTCGAACAAACACGGACGGAGAAACCGCGACAAAATCGCCAATTCTCAGCCAAGGAGTCTCTCGCACACCCGCCCGGCAAACCGGATTTCGCATCGAAGAATTAAAAATCTTTTTGGGCCCCGAAGGAGCCCCTGGGAGGAAGGTGATTTCAATCCTTGAAATATTTTATGCCATTGAGGGCGATAATGTGCAGATGCAGCTTGAGCTTGGAAGGTATTGCATTGCAAATATATGCTCCAAACAAAAAATCCACGAATGACTTCAATCACCCTCGTAATATGAAGTCATATAGTACTAAATATTACAGTAATAAGTAATAGAGTTCCGAATACTTAAATACTGAGTACTACAGTACTAGGTGCAACAGCAATACTTTACACGCGTTTCGTCTTCAGGGCCATTGATTCCAGGAAATCCTACTTTAAGAAAATTTATCTCTGCTTCCTTATAAATTAATCACCCTTAGGCTTAAGTGAGTTTCTGAAATTACCGCTCATTCCGATTTCTCATCCAACTTTCCACGTAAGTAAATTCTCGCTTTAATTTCCAATGTTTTCTCGAATACAAAAATAAATTTTTGAAGATTTTGAAGACAACCTCATCCCATCCTCGTTCTCCGAAGCTTTATTTATTTTATTTTATTGACATTTTATCTGAATGTGACATCAAAAGTCTCTCCCATAAGAAGTAACACGTGGGGACGAAATCTTCTACTGCCAATGCAAGTGTCTACATCGAGTGATCGAGGAGATCCAGGACGAAACAAATTTCACTTTTGAAAGCATGTCACATGTCGTTTGTAGGTTCAATATTCAACGTTTCACATGCGCAGAAAATCGCAGTTCATTCATTATCAAATTTCAGCCAGCGATATGAAGAATTACGTGTGCCGTCAGAGGATTTTTTTTTTTTACCCGACACCCCATTCTCAGTTTTGTCTGGAATCGACAGCGACAATAGGAAAGAGTCAAACCGATGAATTTGAACTTCTTGTCAAGATTCCTGTCGTGGACTTCCGCAGTCGCTGGGCTGACTGGTCACGGGCTTATCCTTCGGATCATGTATTTCCATCACTTTAGGTAGAGATAGAGATATAGATTAGATGAATCCACAAGCCAAATGAATGAAATAAACAGCAATCGTGAAGTCTAGGTCAAAGACCAGGTAGAAAGACTCGGGTTTATGCGTACTGACATGCATATAGCTGCCAATTGCTTTCATATGTATTTGTAGCAGGGAAACGGCAAGGAAAATTTTCCCTCAACATTCCAATTTTGAGTGGCCATGCCCAAATCCACTTTCGGGTGCTGAGGCTAATGTCATTTCTTGAAAATCATGAAAGCACTCTCCACACGCAAAAGATATTCTTTAATGAATTCTTGTGTTAAAGCTAGATATATTTATAAATAGGCGAAGTCTCATGCATAATTCCACTTATGCTCTGAAAAGTCAATTGAAAATGTTTGATTTTTGCACTTAAATTATTTGTAATGTGTCTTCAGCTTCGAATTCTAGAAGTTGAATTCATGCAATCCATCATGCACAAATGAGAATATGGCTAGGACTCATTCGCCTCAGCATTCTCAAGTTAAATGAGAAAATTACAAGAAAAAGGCAACGGACCTAAGCAGCACTTACACACGCGGCAAATATGTACTCATCACACAGGTCCGACTACAAGAAAGCAATAGAATCGGCACACCATCGATGCGACCCTGATCCAGACTTGGGGAATCCATAATACAGTAAAATAGAGAGCTGTCTAGTACCAGTCCTTTCTCTGCGAACGAGTATCAGTCCCAATCTGAAACCGTGGATCGAAGATGAGCTCGAAAGTAGTTCCGCAAAAAACGAAGAGAAACATGCTTCTAACCTGTCTCGTCTATTCCTTCGCAATACTCCTAACTACACTTCAGGTGAGAATTCCAATCTGCACACTGGGGAGTACCTTGTTCTGACGATGTATTGAACCTAACAGGCGCTGCAGTACTTGGTGCGATACCAAAATAAGCCGACGACGACGAACTATCGATTAGACGAACGGCAGAGTTTTCCTGCTCCAAAAATCACCGTCTGTCGAACGCCATCATTCAAAAGTGAAAATAATCTGGAATCATTCTCCTACTTCAACCTCTCTACATTCGCTGAACGTTTAGCATTCCTTCCAAACGAAACTATTCAACGATGCAAATTGAACATAGATCAAGATTGTTACCCAATTGGAGGATCTCGTTGGAGTGAAGTCTACCACAGCGAAGGCAAGTCATAAGTAAACCAAGATTTCGGGAAATATTATTAACAATTGTATTATTTGTTTGGGAATGCAAGAGTAACTTTGTCCATGAGAGCGCTCCATTTCAAGACCTGAGTGTTAATTTTAAATGAGATTGATCAAGGATAGTTATGTTCGAGGGAAGATACCCTCATATCTTTTTGTGCATCTAATCTGAAAATCTAAGACTACCTAACGTTTCACCAGGAGAGCGTTTTACAATGAGCGGCATATTGAACTCTTTCTTGGAGCAGGTGGAGAATGGCGGCCCACATTTTTCTTCAACCAAGATTACTTTTTGAGTCTATGTTACACATTCCACCCAAATGTGAGCCTCGGATTCGGAGGTCAAATCTCCGGATATGAGCTCCAATTCGAAAACCCCTCGAGGAAAGAAGACATTGACACAGTGTACTGGGAAATTAAGATCCATCGTGATCTGGGATGGGCCTCCACATATATAAGGTCTTCTTATACTCCGGTCAGGGTGAAGCCAGGAACGTATAACCACGTGGTCCTCTCGCCCAAAGAAGTCAATCAACTCGACACCCAGACCTATCACTGCGATTCCAGGGACGGATACAGCAGAGACGAGGTAAGAAATGGGTTTTATCACAAGAGTTTCACGAGTGCATTGTATTTATAACTTTCTTCTGTAGTGCATGGACACATGCACATGGATGTGGACCTCCATTCTGCCACTGTCGTGTCGACTTTCCTCGATGAACGTGTCTTTGCCGATGTGCGATCACATTGGGGCTATCCTAGAAATGGGCCGCATAATTAATTCCGCATGGAATAGGCATAATGAGCTGCTTCATTCAACCTGCATCTGCCCGCCACCCTGCCATCGCCTCCGCTACGCTGTGGACGTGAGGACTCTGAAACAAGCTTTGGACGAATATAACTATCTCTGGATATATCTCCCTGAGGATATCGTGGAAGTTCTGGTCGAGAAAGAGGTCTACGATCTCATCCAGGTGTTTGGGGAATTCGGGGGTTGCCTTGGTATGTTTCTCGGCATTTCTCTCGTCTCCATATACGAGTCCCTCGACCGACTTATCCGATTCTTGGTCGCAAGATTCATCGTCAGTGAATAATCATCTGCTTGGAAGATTTCGACTTGGACAGGAATATAACTACGAGATACGTGGAGACTATCAATGCACCTTGCTGTAGTTCCTCAAGTGTAAGAACTCCTAATTCACATCGTGAACTGTGTTATGCTTTTCAATGTGCATTCTTTCTGGTGAAAGACAAGCAATGATCGCATCGGCCGCATTCGGTGACAGTCGTAGCGAGACGAGGTTCTGTCTCATGTCATGTTGGAACGTCGAAGTATCGTTGAGGAAACAGCATTTCCCAAGATCTGCCAGAGCTCGTACTCTAAATATTGAGTTCATGGGGAGGACACGCATGAGGCCAGCAAAAGGGGGGTCGGGGCCGGTCCCCTTGCCGACATTGAACTACCTTATAATATTCACGATCGTCTCCTCGGTGATGGAAATTTTCTTGATGCGCGCTGAAGTCAACTCCTCCAAAGTCAGTGCTTCGTCGGATTCCATTGTGAGAATGGTAAACCGATTGACAGATTGACATTGAGAACATTTATTAATAACCCTATTGTTTGATGTGAGAATTTATGGACGAACCTATTGGTTGATATTGGGAGTATGTCGCTCTGTCGTTCCTTCGATCGGTCAGTTGTCTTCTCTCACACACTAATACATTCGTCACGTTTTTCCTTGATGTCTTCATTTCCACTATTAGTAAATACTGTCGCATTCAAAACAAATATACTTTATTTCAACATATTGTGAATAAGTATGGAGTCTTGGATTATGGGAATGCGTTGGTTGCCTCGGTATGTTCCTCGGCATGTCCTTCGTCTCCATATACGTGTCCTTCGACCGACTCATCCAATTCTTGATCACAAGACGCATCAGTATTGAATGCTGATTTGCTTCGACGATTTCGACTGAGACAGACTAGGAAAATCGTGGGGACTATCGATGCACCTTGCTATGGTCTCTGAAGCGTAAGAATTTATAATTCACATCGTGAACTGTGTTATGCTTCTCAAATTGGATTATTTTTCATGGAAGACGTGCAATGATCCCGTAGGCCGTATTCGTTGACAGTTGTTGCTTTCGAGACTATGTAGTAGCCCCTCGTAGCGAGACGAACTTCGATCTAATCTTGACGTTCGAATGTCGAAATATCGTCGCGGTAGCAGCATTACACAGGGTCTGNGGATCGAAGATGAGCTCGAAAGTAGTTCCGCAAAAAACGAAGAGAAACATGCTTCTAACCTGTCTCGTCTATTCCTTCGCAATACTCCTAACTACACTTCAGGTGAGAATTCCAATCTGCACACTGGGGAGTACCTTGTTCTGACGATGTATTGAACCTAACAGGCGCTGCAGTACTTGGTGCTATACCAAAATAAGCCGACGACGACGAACTATCGATTAGACGAATGGCAGAGTTTTCCTGCTCCAAAAATCACCGTCTGTCGAACGCCATCATTGAAAAGTGAAATTAATCTGGAATCATTCTACCACTTCAACCTCTCTACATTCGCTGAAAGTTTTGCATTCCTTCCAAACGAAACTATTCAACGATGCAAATTGAAGATAGGTCATGATTGTTACCCAATTGGAGGATCTCGTTGGAGTGAAGTCTACCACAGCAAAGGCAAGTCATAAGTAAACCAAGATTTCGAGAAATATTATTAACAATTGTATTATTTGTTTGGGAATGCAAGAGTAACTTTGTCCATGAGAGCGCTCCATTTCAAGAGCTGAGTGTTAATTTCAAATGAGATAGATCAAGGATATATATGTTCGAGGTAAGATAATCTCATATCTTTTTGTGCATCTAATCTGAAAATCTAAGATTACCTAACGTTTCACCAGGAGAGCGTTTTGCAATGAGCGGTATATTGAACTCTTTCTTGGAACAGGTGGAGAATGGCGGCCGACATTTTTCATGAACCAAGATTACGAATTGAGTCTATGTTACACATTCCACCCCAATGTGAGCCTCGGATTCGGAGGGCAAATCTCCGGATATGAGCTCCAATTCGAAAACCCCTCGAGGAAAGAAGACATTGACACAGTGTACTGGGAAATTAAGATCCATCGCGATCTGGGATGGGCCTCCACATACGTAAAGTCTTCTTATACTCCGGTCAGGGTGATGCCAGGAACGTATAACCACGTGATTCTCTCGCCCAAAGAAGTCAATCAACTCGACACCCAGACGTATCCCTGCGAGTCCAGGGACGGATACAGCAGAGACGAGGTAAGAAATGGGTTTCATCACAAGAGTTTCACGAGTGCATTCTATTTCCAACTTTCTTCTTGTAGTGCATGGACACATGCATGTGGAAGTTTACCTCCATGCTGCCACTGGGGTGTCGACTTTCCTCGACGAACGTGTCTTTGCCGGTGTGCGATCACATTGCCGATATCCTACTAATTGACCGCATTATTAATTCCGCATGGAATAGGCAGAATATGCAGATTCAAACAAACTGCATCTGCCCCCCACCCTGCCATCGCCTCCGCTACGCTCTGGACGTGAGGACTCCGAAACAAGCTTTCGACGAATATAGCTATCTCTGGATATATTTCTCTGAGGATATCGTGGAAGTTCTAGTCGAGAAAGAGGCCTACGATCTCATCCAGGTGGTGGGGGAATTCGGGGGTTGCCTTGGTATGTTTCTCGGTATTTCTCTCGTCTCCATATACGAGTCCCTCGACCGACTTATCCGATTCTTGGTCGCAAAACGCATCGCCAGTGAATAATGATCTGCTTCGAAGATTTCGACTTGGACAGGAATATAACTACGAGATACGTGGAGACTATCAATGCACCTTGCTGTAGTTTCCCAAGAGTAAGAATTCCTAATTCACATCGTTAACTGTGTTATGTTTTCAATGTGCATTATTTCTGGTGAAAGACAAGCAATGATCGCATCAGCCCCATTCAGTGACAGTCGTAGTGAGACGAGGTTCTGTCTCATGTGATGCTGGAACGTCGAAGTATCGTTGAGGTGACAGCATTTCCCAAGATCTGCCAAAGCTCGTACTCTAAATATTGATTTCATGGGGAGGACACGCATCAGGCCAGCTAAAGGGGGGTCGGGGCCGGTCGCCTTGCCGACATTGAACTACCTTATCATATTCACGATCATCTCCTCGGTGATGGAAATTTTCTTGCTGCGCGCTGAAGTCAACTCCTCCAAAGTCAGTGCTTCGTCGGATTCCATTGTGAGAATGGTAAACCGATTGACAGATTGACATTGAGAACATTTATTAATAACCCTATTGTTTGATGTCGTGAGAATATATTGACGATCCTATTGGTTGATATTGGGAGCATGTCGCTCTGTCGTTCCTTCGATCGGTCAGTTGTCTTCTCTCACACACTAATATATTCGTCACGTTTTTCCTTGATGTCTTCATTTCCACTATTAGTAAATACTGTCGCATTCAAAACAAAAATACTTGATTCCAACATATTGTGAATAAGTATGGAGTCTTGGATTATGGGAATGCGTTGGTTGCCTCGGTATGTTCCTCGGCATGTCCTTCGTCTCCATATACGTGTCCTTCGACAGACTCATCCAATTCTTGATCGCAAGACGCATCAGTATTGAAGGCTGATTTGCTTCGACGATTTCGACTGAGACAGACTACGAAAATCGTGGGGACTATCGATGCACCTTGCTATGGTCTCTGAAGCGTAAGAATTTATAATTCACATCGTGAACTGTGTTATGCTTGTCAAATTGGATTATTTTTCATGGAAGACGTGCAATGATCCCGTAGACCGTATTCGTTGACAGTTGTTGCTTTCGAGACTATGTAGTAGCCCCTCGTAGCGAGACGAACTTCGATCTAATCTTGACGTTCGAATGTCGAAATATCGTCGCGGTAGCAGCATTACACAGGGTCTGCAAAAGCTCAAAAAATAAAAAATATGCTCATAGTGACGACACGATTGAGTAGGCAAACAGAAGTGCATGGCTGAGAAACCCCATCGTTCCCTTCCCTTTTTCACGAAACGGAAATTGCGTTAAGAGTGAAATCCGGTCAGGAGAAGAAAGTCAATTTTGGTACGAAACCGCTCAAGAGAGGCGGGGGGAGATGGAGGGTCGTTCAGGAATTTCGAGTCGAATAGGATCATCAAAAAATTCAATGACGCGACGTTATCTGTGCGCAACGAGTGTACGTGCTTCTGAGCAGCACATGCGGTAGCCCGGAATATTGATCAGCTTTAATTCGGGAAATGAATCGGTTTTTGCTGACGTTCCTCTTTAACACGTATGAACTTTTGGCAAATCTTATTTTTCAAGGGAAGGACAGAGACCTTACAATTTATGTTGTTCTTTGGTATTTTAGCCATTCTTCGTCGCATTTGCAAGCACCAAAAAAATTGTTCATGGCGATGTTTTAGTCTGCATTTCAGATAATAAAGCGATGTTCATGGGGATGTTTCTTCATATCCCTAAGTTGAAAACGACCATGTAGAAGGGACGCTTTTCCTAAACTGTTCTTTTCCCCTTGGACGGGGAGAAATGAAACTTTCTTACTTACTAAAGATCTGATCTCGTAGGCCGCGCGCGTTGCGGTGACAGTAACCACCAGAACTTCTTCCCAGCACATTCAATACTCTTGGCATCACCGATTAGCTCATGGGTTATTAGCATTAGCTTATGGTACATGTACCACTGAATCTGAAACCGTTCGGGTCATTTCCAAGAACCTGTTCGACTTTAGCATAGAGGAAATTTTGCACATGTGTAGCGGAATACAAACGAATAATTCCTGAAAATGCTTCGCCTCCACATTAGCACCAGTGAACAACAATGTGAGGGTTGTGAGTTGCAGCAAAAACACTTTTCCGTTGTGGCAGCAATGTGAAACAAATGTCCCCTCCCTACAGCAAAATGTACAGCCTGATAGTGCTCGCTGCGCAAACGACTGTAGCGATTTGAGATGACATGGAGAGGCCTGACTGTGTCCCGAGTTCCGTAGTGTAATGGTAGCACACCTGACTGGCAAGCAAGAGGTCCGGTTTCAATTCCCGGCAGCCCACCGACTTTCGACACCTGATTGCTGCGTGCCTTGCATCAAGTTGTCCAGGATGCTGCATGGCTCTCTTATTCCTGAGCTCAGCATTCGCTGCCTCTTGCTGTTCAGCCTGACGCTCCCTATATGCAACTGGGTATTGTTCATCAGTCATTCTAGCCATTATGGCTAGCACCTCCTAAAGCACCGATTTAGTCAACTGCAGTGGCTAACGTTGTTTCCGCGCCAGCACCAATCGTTTATTATCTGCAGCGACTGCCTCATCGCCGTCCTGTGGGACAACTTTCAACATTTCTTTTTCACGTTCAACTTCACCTCGCAAATATCGTGACCATTTTGATGGGAGGAGCGGTCCGTTTGTGCGACGTATGAAACAAAGAATTTAAGTTATTATTTTGACTTAATCAGTCATGAGAATTCCAATAAGTCTGCTATGACATGAAATGCAAACAGAAAACTATTGCATGGAAGCGATGTCCCGAACCGACACGCCTGACCTAACGGAAAAAAAAACACTTGATCAAAGAATGTATTCAAATGGAGTACTTGCAGGCGATTAGTGAAAACGTGACAAGCATTCAGTTATTACCACTCTTTGATTGACGCACCTAAGTATGAAGCCTATGACTCTGATATAGCTCGATATACCTGGTGCTAAATGCGTTGGATGGCCAAGCCTACGGCCTAGAATAGCATAGCCTCAAGGACCTGGCGGTTAGAGGGGTGGATGGCCTAGTCTATGGCCTGCAGTAACGTAATGTCGTAGGCCTCGCGCGCTGGGGCTCTTCGAATTAAAGTATAAGGTGGGCTGGAAAGGCGTAGCCTTGTAGGCCTGGCCTATGATCCAGAATGGGATTGCATCGTAGGCCTGCGCGTTGGGGGTGACATCCACGGCCATCATCACCACCACCGCCGCCACCGCAGCTTTTGACCTCTTCGAATTAAAGTGTAGGATGTCCATCAGGGCTTTCCCACGAACCACCTATTTTCCGACAGAGTCACCGTTTCTGGCAATGCATTTTCCCCAGGGTTTTACAAGGGCATGAATCCCATCCCGAAGAAAGCTCTCTCCTTGGTGACAGAGTCATAGCACCCAAGTGATGACAAGCCTATCTTTCAACCACTTTCTTGATGCTCTCGTCAGTGATGGCAGTGATGGGTCGTCCCGATCGCGCCTTGTCTTTAACCCGCGTCTCTCCAGATGCAAAGAGACTGAACCATCGTCTGACAGCGCTGTCATCAACGCAGGCGTCACCGTAAGAGACTATAAAGTGGCAGCGATTATCCGCAGGCTTTACAACCTTCCCCCAAAGGAATTCCCTTACTTCTCTCTGCTTCTCACACACCTGAAGTGTGACAGCCATTTTGAACGTGTCCCTTGCTGGTGTCTCTCAGCAGATATTTGCAAAACTTGCGAATTTTTGACGGGAAACTTAATCATTTACACAGACCTTAAAAAAGGATCCAGCATGAATACGTTTGGCTAAAAAAATGATTATGCAGAGGCTAATTTGTGACTGTCAGGTGTGATGTGTCCTGAAGGTTCATTGGAAAATATGAAGTTTGCTCTTGTCTGGAATAATAATGTCCTAGGTGAATATCATTCAAATGTGAAAAATGGACATTTCTTCACACACACGCTGATTTGATAACATTATGAACTTTTGTATAGAATTCAATATTCCCAAACTCAAGGTAATTTCTTTGCAAGAAAACTTCAGACCACTTGGCGAAAACAGACCCTATTATGACTGATAGGACCATCTCATTCCAGCAAAAAAAAAAACCGATAAGGTCCCCTTCCTGCCAACATTTTCTTCCCAGTCTCCTTGTCGCACGCTTTCACTTTTTAATTTTCTCCTGTGATGAAACCAGTAAATGTATTTAAAAAAAAAACAGTTGTCCTACAGTATGTTATGCTTTTTTGGCATGTCTCTACATGGATTCAAGCAAAAAATTATTGAAGGGTCTTTTTCTACTTCAATTCTTTCTGAATAGAACCAGGTAATCATCCGACAAACATCCATCGTATCTTCTCACATCTGGACGACGTACGTCGGATATCTAAGGCTGTCTGAGGATGACAGGAATTCTTCCAACTAGAGGCGTCCACTTTAGAATATGCGGTCCCTTTTTGGCTGTCCACTTTGGCTGTCCACATATGCGGGCCCTTTTTGGCAGAAATTCCAAACCCGGTCGGTTATGAATTCGAAGGGCTGGATGTTATTGATACAGACATGAGATTTTGATTGTCGGATCCATGAATATAAGAAGAGCGCAAATTTTCGGAGATCGTCCGTTGATTCTTGGAAATTTTTATTTTGCGATATGAAAACGGATTTAGTTATTAGGAAAAAAAAGTGTCACCCTTGAAATAGTAAGAGAGAACGTGAGCTTAATCGTGGATAGATGTGAATACTCTACTCAACAGCAAAATGTAACCCTTTGATGTCGGGGGAGGTGGCGCTTAATCATCCCCACAGGCGGCTAAATCGACACCCCCTTGATTTTGCAAAATAGTTACTGAAATGAACAAATGCAAGAGGTGACAGAAATCTCCTGATAAAATTCCGGGAAAGTCCTTACACGCGACGGATTTAATCAAACTCGCGTAAATATACGTCAACCTTGCTAACATAGGCTCACGTGTATATGTGTCAACCAACACTTATTGGTTAATAGCAGAACTCAAGCAATATTAAAAATTAAGA